TCCACCGGCAGATCAGCAAGGAGCTGCGGATTCGGACGGGCGCCGAGAACCTCTACAGGTGAGGCGGCGGCCGGCAGGGCAGCTGCGTGGCCAGTGCGTCTCCAGGAGGTGACGGCCCGCCCAGCTGGGGTGGGGGCGGCGGCCGAAGTGGCCGGGAGCACAGCCCCTCGCGCCCCACCCCTGCCCCACAGCCCCTCCTGGCGAGGCCTGTGGGCACAGGGCAGAGCTGGGCAGGGCCTACAGAGACCCCCCGACCTTCCTGGGGACCCACTGGCCCCTCCTCAGGCCCAGATGCGGGCAGAAGGCCAGACCCCAGCCCCTGTCTGGCCTGGTCACTGCGAGGGCAGCAGCCGAGGGCCCCAGGACACCTGCAGGCCAGGCGCAGCAGGGCTGGCGGGCAGCGGCCCAGGCCACTGCTCAGACTGGGGCGGGAGCCAGGCGTGCCGGTGCCCGTGGTCTCAGTGCAGCCCGGCTCCCCCAGAGCCACCAGCAACGCCCGCGTCAGGGAGACCGTGGCCCGGGAGCTGAGCGACGTCAACTGCAGCCTGCAGCTGCTGAAGGAGGAGCTGGAGGAGCTGGGCCGTGAGGACGGGGCCCCGCCCCAGAGGTGCCAGGGGGCCCCAGGCAGGGCGGCCCCAGGAGGGGGGGCGGCAGGGCTGACCAGGGCTCCTTGCAGTGAAGGCACCGCCCCCATGATCCCGCTGGGGCTGAAGGAGACCAGGGAGCTGGACTGGGCCACGCCCCTGAGGGTGAGTGAAGGGGGCGCTGGGTCAAGAGACAGGGACCTGAGGCTGGGGGGGTCCGAAGTGGGACCTCCGGGCTAAAGAGGATCTGAGGGTGCTTGGGAGAAGAGCCCCAGGTTGTGTGTGAACACCGGCGTCCTGCTGGCCCGAGGTGACAGGGCCAGACACTCCTCTGGCCGAGGCTGGGCCTGGTGGGCAGCGGAGGGCGGAGTGGGGCTGGGCCCACACCTGCAGTGGGGGGACCCTCCTGGGGCCTGGGCCCTCCCCTGCCCGCATGGGACCCCTCCGTGGTCACCAGAGAGCGCTGACACCTGCCCCCTCAGGAGCTGATCTCCAGGCACTTTGGAGAAGACGGTGCCACCTACGAGGCGGAAATCAGGGAGCTGGTGGACCTGCGGCAGGTGGGCGCCCCACCCAGCTCCCCAGCCTGCCAGCGCCCCAACCCCGCCCCGCTCCCGGGCTGCCGCCCCTCCTGCACTCTTCACTCTCCTGGGCCAGCGGGCAGACGCACCATGCCGGGCTCCTGGTGGAGGGAGGGTGAGGGCCAGGCC